TGGAAATCAGAACAAACATAGCCCTGCAGAGTGAATGAACTTCCAATGTTGGGTGTAGTAGACCTTATCGAAAGTCGAAAAACGTAAGAACTTAGATTTTCGGATGCGCCTCCAAACGTATTCAACTAAAAGCTTCAGTCCTGGGTGGTATTCAGACAATCGTATGTACTCCGCCAAGTTGCGAAACAAGTTCACATAGGGTTTTTGAAGATAATCTTTAGACGAAAGGGCACATTACCTGTACGTACTAACGAATCTACCATGGTTCTCAAACAGCACAATTTGATAGGTGAATTCGGAGGCATCGATTTGAGGGAATGGACCTCCAGGAGCGGCAGCCTAAAAACGACTTCTTCAGACTCTGTGTGAAATGTAGACGTGCGTTCCCGTGATTGGTGAGTTCTTCGCGACAACCAATTAGAGATACTCCCTGCTTATGGAGCGACCTCCAAATGGAATCTAACGTCTATATCACATATTTTCAAAATGAATACCTCTGAGGTATCCAGTTGCTGCCAGGCAATGTCGGCTTCTGTAGGACCGACGCGAACCACTTGAGGGGCTAGGATACGCCCTAGCATTTCACGTACTTTATCCCATTCCTCACCGTCGATATCGGTTTCCTGCAAATGGAAAATCATAAAGATTTTCCGAAGTACTGTTTTCTCCCTCCCTAGCCCTCTAGCAGACACACCTGTTCATCATTTCGAGACGATGCTGACGGTACCAGGTCCGGAATCGTTAGCTTGCCGTTGTGGGACCATTTACGGTTCACTGTGTAGAGAGCCGGATGAAACGGTGGCACGGCTAACGGCGGTGTTGAGGCGATACGTGATGACATGAATCCCTTGAACATAAATGCACTCAGATCTATCATTGATTTTACGAACGTAAATACGTGCTATGTGTGCTGACATGCAAAATAATATCGTGTACTTGTTCTTTAGCTACTGTCGTCACCGTTCCAGTTTCTGCTCATGAAACGGCGTCGGGGACGAGGGCGACATTACATCGTCAGGATTATGGGTTCTCAACGGAACAAAAACTTGAGCTATCACGTGTAGTGCATTTAATAAATGAATCCACTTTTTATAGCAGAAAAAACTCTAATCGCTGATAACGTTGGGAACAGCGTCGTTGGTGAGGTAGGAGTTCTCAGTGTGTCTCATGCAAAACTTTGTGACAGTACTGAACATCCTAAGAACGCACAACCTATTGAGAACATGTTAATGCAAAACTTAGTAAATTTCGGTTGAGAATTTTGGAAC